ATGACCGCATTTTTGTTTTATATAAAGTAAACATGTGCATAAATTCCATAACTTGACATCTAACCTCAATCTAAACAAAAGAAAACTGGATCCGTAACTGGTCAAAAATCTAAAATTATCACAATGAGTTTTCTAGGGTGGTACAATATATATCCGAATCAAAGTGTTATTAGCCAGACCCGAACAAGTAACCCAAAACCCGAAAAATCTAAAAAAAATATGAATCGATCTGAATGTCCAAATTAATCATAAATATAAATATTTGAAACATAAATATCTAGTTCAAATATTCAGTTCTATATTTATTTTAAAATGATATTTAAAACCAATTATCTAAATTTTAAATAAGTACTTTGATATCCAATTTTATAAAAATAAGTATCTTTTTTTTTGGGTTTAGATTTTAGATTTCCAAACCAAACGAACGATATATGATTACTTTATCGGTTTTAAGATGTGTACAAACTAGAACCAAATCCGACATGTTATATTTGAATATGATCCATACTTACAAACATGTCTACTTACAAATTATGACACCTATGATGTGATATAAATTATCTTTGATTCAAAATATTCGACCGGTATCCCAATAGGTACTTCAACTCCCAAGCATAACTTAAATTATGTTTTATATTTTGTTAAATTAATTTTATATTTGATTAATATTTTGCTTGTTATTTAAATAACCCATAAAATTATAATCATAAAATATCAGTAAGAACATGTTTCATCATATATTAAATATTAATAGTAGCTATTATTAATATTTATTTTATAAAATTATATATATATATATATATATATAAACGATTTTAAGACTTTATCTATGATTATTATATTATTATGTATTGGCAGAAGTTTGAAAAATATGTTTATTATTATTTCGTGTATCTGTTACATATAATTAAATATTATTTTTTATATCCTAATGTTTTAATTTAGATATGTATATTAAAATATAATTTTTTAAAAAATATCTTATGGTAGTATTTTTTTATTCTGTAAATGTAATTCATTTATTTTATAATTTATAAAGTAGATTAATTTATATTATAATTATTATTTTGTGTAATTTTTATTTACAAATATGAAATATTTATATATAAATGTTACAGAAGGTTATTTCTTATTCTATAAATCAAAACGAGTTAATATTCATTTGTAATTTAATTTAATACTATTTTACGTTTTTTGTTATTTAAATAATATTAAAACAATAAATCATTTATTTTTAAAATAAAAATATATTAAAGATATTGTTAGATGTAATCTGAAAATGTAGTTAAGAGTATCTTTTTGATATCTTATTTTGAATATATTTAAATATTATATTAATATTATGTGTTTATTAAGAAATACCTAAGTTTGTTGTATGTAACATAACATAAAATTAAATAAATGTAATGTTTTAACGTAGACTATTTGCAAGTTGATAAAATGTGATTTTGTTTAAATGGTATTGATATCTTACATATTAAAATAGTTGTCGAATACCGGTACGTTATTGTAATACTATGTGATGTTTCACATGCATGCAGGTGTGAAAGATTTGTATGCCTTGTGGATGAAGAAAGGTGGTTCAGAACCTATAATGGTTGATCTAAAGAGGTGGTTCGAGGACATGACACTGAACATGAGCGTAAGAATGTTGGCTGGAAAAAGATACATTGGCGGCGGCTCATCAACCGCTGAGGACACCGAAGAGGCCAGACAATGCCAAAAGGCCATCGCAAAGTTCTTTCACCTCATGGGTATATTCACGATGTCCGATGCTTTTCCAACACTATGGTGGTTTCATTGGTTTGATCTGCAAGGGTATGAGAAGGAGATGAAGAAGACGGGTAGCGAACTAGATGTAATTCTCGATAGATGGGTCAAAAACCATCGGCAACAACGAAAAGCTTCAGGAAATAAAGAGAACGATTCAGACTTCATTGATGTCATGTTGTCACTTGCGGAACAAGGCAAACTCTCACATCTTCAATATGATGCAGATACTTGCATCAAATCTACCTGCCTGGTATACCTTTAATTACCTATTTTTGGTCAAGGATTTTAAACTTGACTATCATAGATGAAATTTATTTGAAAATACCATAAGATAACAATAAAACATATTCCTGTACCAAAAGTAACATTATAGAGAATTTTTGTCTACGATATCTTTTATTAAAAATTAAAAGTAGACTTTTTATTTTATATTTGAGTTATGCTCTAGTGATTGAGTTAATTATGGTTTAGTGTTTAATTAAGGGATGGGGATTTGGAGTAATTTAGTTATTTTATCTTCTAATGAATGTTATTTGTGTACCTCTTATGTGCTATATTTGATTTTTGTGATATCTAAAAGATTTGCGTTCTTTATTGCTACAAATTTGAATGATCAGGCACTGATTCTTGGAGGAAGTGACACTACAGCGTCAACTCTCATATGGGCCATTGCTCTTCTTCTAAACAACAGAGACATGTTAAAGAAAGCACAAGATGAGATAGACCTCCAAGTTGGCACGGATAGAAATGTCGAGGATTCAGACATAGAAAATCTGCCGTACCTTCAAGCGATCATTAAAGAAACATTGAGACTGTATCCAGCTGGTCCTCTCTTAGGCGCTCGAGAAGCCATGGAAGATTGCAGCGTCGCAGGTTACCACGTTTCTTGCGGCACAAGACTGATAATAAACGTATGGAAAATCCAAAGAGATCCAAAAGCTTGGGTAGAACCAAACGAGTTCAGACCAGAGAGGTTTCTTACAGGAGAAGCAAAAGAGATTGATGTTAGAGGACAGAACTATGAGCTGATCCCGTTTGGTTCGGGAAGAAGATCATGCCCAGGTACTTCTTTGGCTCTGCAAGTGCTTCATCTAAGTCTTGCTCGTTTTCTTCATTCCTTTGAAGTGAAAACTGATTCGGATTTGGCTGTTGATATGAGTGAAAGTCCTGGCTTGACCATTCCTAAAGCAACGCCTCTTGAGGTTCTGATCAGTCCACGTCTCGAGAAACATCTTTTCGTGTAATATATATGTTTCTCTTTGTTAAACGTAGGGCTTCAATGCTATTACTGAAGGTGTTTTGACGTTTTCGTTCTAATAAAAGACTATGTATGTATATATACGTTTTACCCTTTGTTCGTTTCATATCAAAATAAATGTTTTTCTTTTTGGATATACATACTTACGTGACAGGGGCGAAGCCAAAGCATTGACTATGGTGGCATGTGCACCCATAGTTTTATTAAGATTAACCGTTTTGCATGTAAGAATTTACAGAAATCGTTAAATGAGATGGTTTATTCTTGTTGTACACTCATGATGTCTCGTCTTCGATAGCTCCTTTGTCAATTATTAATTTCTTGCGCCCATGACAAAATCATTCTAGCTTCCCCCCTGCTTACGTCATAATCCTTTTTGTTGAATTCGCACGTCACGGTCCTTTAGTCTGGTAAGAATGATATTTACCAGAATATTTTAATGCATAATTCATAGTTAAATATTCAGCAAATAGCAAATCACTTTAAAGCACGAGACGGGGAATTAAACTCATATCTCAATGTGTTTAATGGACCTAAACCCTAGGCTTCAATGTCTCAAGATTACACGACCCCTATAAATACATAACAAAGTACACTTCTACGATTGAATCCTTAAAACCCTAGTTCCTAGCTTCTTATCTTAAGCGCAGCTCATCACTTTAGTTGTGGATTTCTTTCTCTTTAAAACCAAAGAAGCTGAAATTATTCATAATTTTTTATTCTCATTCTGTTATTCTATTCGATGGTACAAATCGATATTCAAACAATTGTTTTCGAAGCCATATCATAAATAGGATTTTGTTCTATCATCAAATTGAAAGCAAGTCTTTTGGATGCTTAATTATTCTTCCTTATGTTTCTCCTATTTTGTTCTATCATCAGTATCGAGCTAAAATACTTTTCGATCTAAAGCGTTAATTAAACCCCCTATGATAACTTATGATGATTAAAATTGTTAAAAGTAGTGGTGATATCTTCTTGATGATATCTCAGCTCCGAGAGACTTTTAACTGCTTCTCTGTTTTGTTATTGTATTACTTGTTAATCTGTTCTGACTCATATTAATTCAGTGATTTTTTGTTTGTTTGATCTAAGTATAGAATTTTCATTTGTGTGGCTTTTGGTTGAATCCCAATGATGATGAATAATAAAAAAATGTTAAAAGTAGTGACTGATTATATATTGAAGAATAATCAAATTCTGAGGGATTCATCAAATATTTTATCGATTTCTTATATGCAGTCCTCTGTGATCTGGTTGCCCGTTTGGTTTCTTCAGAGTAAGGACTGATTTCTTGGTGAAATCTTCAGAATATGAGTGGTTTTATGTTGAAATTAGTTCATGTTAAAAAAATATATATATATAGTTCATCTTCTTCGTTTTTCTAATTTGGTTTAACATCAGTGCAATGTTCAAATGTTGATTGAATTGCTGGTTTTTCGTTACGTTCATGTCAATGCTTTCTTACTATACTAGGATTCATCCATTTTATGCTCTATGTCTTTCTCCTTATGCTTTAACAATAAGGAATATACTGCACTGTTTTTCCTAGTTATTAAGTTGGAACTTGGTGTCATATGTTCACTTGACTCATTAAAGAAAGTAACCTCACTTGTAAAACACAAATCAAACGCATTATGTTACAAATCTGCTCCATTAAGTCATTAACCTTAAAACTCTTCACCATTGTCAATGTTAGTTAATTCCATCATCAACTCTAACATATATTAAATTAATAATTAGATCTTTGAATGTTTGCAAATCTAATAATTAGATCTTTGAATGTTTAAACAATGTCTTTTAAACAGTTCAGACTAACTTCCGGCATAAAAAAAATATAGAAAAGAAAGATTCAAAACCTTGATAACAAAACAAGTCTCTTCACCTAGTTTCAAGAACATTCAATTTTAGAAAACGAAAACAGAAAACAAACAGACCAGAACACCAAATAAATTTAAGACTCTAAACATCATTTTAAGCTATTCAGAAGCGCATCCATGCCAGCACGCTGTTCAGTCAAGTCATTCAACTTTCCCTCAATTTCTTGAATCCGAATCTCACAAGCTTCTTTTAATGCCTCCTCCAACCAGTCCAACTTAAACCCCGCTTTTATCACAAATCCCAGTGCAGAATATGCTTCAGACAGATCACTGTTGGAGAGTTCCTTAGAGGACTTGCATAGAATCTTAGTCAAACCTAGTAGGACATTCATGTACGTTGTTCTCAGATGTGGATTCTCTGCACGGACATTTGATGCAATGTTTGGATGCTTTTTAAATAAACTGTTCACAGCTTCTACCTGCAAAAAAATGAAAAAACGTTATGAGTAAAACTCGAGTGAGAGACACTAAGGCCTTGTTTTATTCTTGTGTTTTTGTTTACTTGTGAAGCAAGCACTTGAAACCCATTGATATCCACGATGTCTGTGGTCACCACTTGTATATCTAGTTCACCGACAACTTCAAGAACATCAACCTCTGCAATAATCTTGAGTTCATCGTTCACAAGAAACCCGCTATTGCTAGCATTAAGGTCGAAAAGATGAATCATCGATGGAAAACCCCATATACTATTCTTCTCATCAAACCAGTATTGGGTTTCTGAAAATTCACAAAAAAATATTGGATCTCATCATCGTTTACATTTTCAAATAAACACATAGATAGAAACACATAATATACCACCTCGCAGTTGAGAGACTTCTCCAGGAATTTGATTTACAACAGTAAAGGAGAATTTAGCGTGTCGTCTCCATCCAGAAGGCAAAAAATTATGATTAGAAACAAACAAATACAGAGACAAACAAGAACTATCGTTGTCAACTCCTCTCGGAAAGGCACCAAGACGCCTGCGAGAAAGTACCATGCAAAAGTTGTGTCAATTGCAGTTGCAGCTACTGAACACGAATGTATCACATGCATACTAACTCTTATTCTTACCATTTGCAGCGACCAACCACGAATATATCAGAATGAACACTTTTGGATTCCAAAGAGGAGAAATTCTTTATAACCCAAGTAAACTTCTTCTCAGCTTCATTCCCCATTTTGTTCTTGATCATGACGACTCCTAAACACTCAAATCTGTTACTAGGATTATCAAACAAATCAAAAATACACACTAAGTTTAAGAATGATAACGGTTCTCTCTCCCTACAAGTAAACATGTTTGACAAATCATACAGAGTCAAGGAAATAAAAGAGTAGAACGGTGAAAATGGCAAAGTATTTACCTCTACGAGACGCAGAAGATGAACACATCTAACACTCCAGCCACGGCTTTTAAAGGCGTCCAATGCTGAAGACGAGGAATACGGATCGCTTCCTCTCCTCTCCTTATAGGTTGATATATATTACTCCCTTGTTGTTTTGGATTTTTGCATATTTCAACCTAACCACATTTTAATCAATTGAAAAATACAATACTAGAGAAAATGAATAAATATTGTATTGAAATTATAAATGACACTCATTTTAAAACAAAAAAAATTAATCTTTAACGACAACTAAACTAAAATGAAGGGATTAGTACAAAAAGTGTTTTTGATAACGATACAAAAAAGGAAATTTACCTTCTCCAAACTGTTTTTGAAATTTGGAAATTAAATCCCCTTATTATTAAAAGAGAAGCAAAAAAATAAGAGAAACCTTATAATGATACTATATTTACAGAGGTGCCATTTGCTGATGTGTCAGACAGACAAAGCTTCTTAGACCACCTTTATAAATGTCCATTCCCATCTAAAGAATTTACGAAAATTGCCATTGGACAGACTTTTTTTATGGTAAAGTAATTGCATTATATTATGTGTGTTCGTAAACGATGGATATGTTAAAATTGAGTCTCTCTCCTCTCTTTATTAAAACTTGAATCTCTCTTCCATTTCCTTAATTGCAGTGAGAATCTCTCACGATTCTCTCTTCTCCGATGCAGAGATTTTCGAACACAACGTACTTGGCGCAACCAATATTCAAACACACTATTACGGTTGACTTTGAGATGATAGTTTAGACAGTATAGAATACTAACCTCTGTCCACAGCATTTGATGGTAAATATCTTTCTTGCGTTTATCCATGATGATACATGAATCTTGAAGATCCTCTGTGACAGCGAGATCAGTAGAGGACATACATGAAACCAGAAAGATTCCCATTTATGCGTTCCTAATCATGATGGGATGATAAGTATTCAAACTTTGTATTTAGCAGTTGTTCAAGATTTTTAGATAAATATCAAGATTTTTAGTTAAAAATTGTTCTTATATATACACAAGAGATTTTAACAATTTTGGGAAAGGGGTTTTTGCTCAGGTTTTTCGTTCACAGATTCTCTTGCATCCGTAACGAGCAACGGGTGATAGAATCTCGCCGTTGTGAATGGTCATACAAAAAATTATATAACAGAGGAAAAATTAGATGTGCCAAACAATTGTGTACATCTGATAAGAGATAGAAAAGGAATTGACTTTAGAAGCTATTGAAATCATTGGGCGAGAACATGAACTGCCCAAAAAAAAGTGATAACCCTAATCCCTTTTTCTCATCGTGTAACCGAGAGAAGGATTGTGATTTGATCTCTCCTATGAAACAGAGAGAGTTGAGTGTTTAGTACAGCCCATATAATCAAAGCTTTGGGCCTAACACAATTGTTAACCATCTACAAAATGGGTCAAATAAAAAAATGTTTGGCAACCTACACAAAAACATCACGAAGCAATAATAAATAAGATACTTTACAGAAAATGATAGGGGTGTTCAATTCGGATGTCGGTTCGGTTTCGGATCAGATTTTTTAGTTTTTCGACATTTCTGTTATAAAAATTAGCTACCAATATTATATCTATTTTGGTTCGGTTTATACTATCGGTTTTTGGGTTTCTTGGTTTTATACCAAAAATCATAACTATATTTACCTTTTATGACAAATTTTAGTTTATATGATCAGAAATCAGATTTATTAAAGCATAAGATATATTTCATACTCTAATTTTAAGATATAATATTTTTTTCTTTTTTCTATTAAAAACAATTGTTAATATTATAATACTATTAAATAAATATATATTTAGTACAAATATTTGTCAATAAAATATGTTTTAAATATGAATATAATATTCATAAATCATCATGTATAATTTATTAATTTTATCATAAAATTTGCATATAAGTTAACTAATATATTTTAATTAATCGGTTTCTTCGACTTCATCAACTTATATACCAAACCATATCCATATACCACGATTTCTTAAAATTAATTCCATTTGGTTTATTCGGTATTACCAAATCCAACCAATTTTCTCTATTTCGGTTCGGTTCGGTTTTAATTAGTTCGGTTTTACCTCATTTAACATCCCTAAAATTTACTATTTATAATAAGTAAATTTTTTTTTTTTTTGCTCACCCCGTGCAGGGCACAAGTAAAATCTAGTAAATAAATTTCGCTGAAATATATATGCAAAAGAAGAGGTCGATAAAATTATTGTTATTCGTAAATGTTTGGTTTGATACTACATAATTCAATTCATTATTTGTCATTTCTATTTACTATATACCTTTCAGTTATATATATATATATATATTGTAAACTGAAATATTATAATTAAATTCATATCATGATAAACATCTACGATTATATATTTTAATTTTATCATTTTACACATGTCTCATCTCGTGCAAGGCACGGGTCTCATCCTAGTTAAATGATTATTTTGCAACTTAAATTAAAAGGTTCACAGAAGTTAAGAAAAAAAATAAAAATGTTCATTAATGTATTATATCAGAATATTTGAAATTCCAATACATGTAATTCATTATTAACTATACACATTAATGAAAAAATTAGTAGTATGCTGTAAGTTGAGCGTAAACTTTTGAAATATATAGATGATATACAAGGATCAAAGGGAAATATAATACAAGGATCAAAGGGAAAATGATGAAAGCGAAAGTAGAAAAAAGAGGTAAGAGAATCAAGAGATGAGAATAGTATCTCAAAGGAGACTATCAATTTTAAAGTTTGCAAAATTTCTATTTTTGAAGTTTCATGGTATTTTTCTCCAAATTCAAAACTTTAAACTAACTTTTAAAAATATTTATTTTTTATTATATGAATCTTATATTTGTCATAATTAATATAAATCCATATAACTTTTATAAGTAACTAGTGTGTATATATAAAAACATAAAAATATTAATTAATAAAATCTTACACTAAAATTTAAAGTTTGAAATAGAATACTAAATTACAAGTAAAATACTACATTATTCCATAAAATAATTTCTGTAATGCTACATCTTCGGTTACACAAAAAAAAAAATAGATAATATTTTGGAGATTTTGAAGGTTTTAGAGTAAATTTACCACACTATTATTGTTGTTGTAATATTTAAATTTACTTTAAAAATTATGTTTCATGTACCTTTTTAAAAAGAAAAATATTAAGTTTCTTTTGTAATATTCTTGTTGTCTAGTTTTAGTTTTAAAATAATATAATTTTTATTTTAAAATTTAATTTAATTTTATGTGTAAAAACTAAATTTATAAAAATAATAATAAATTATTTATGTAATAATTTTTTTTAAGGATTACAATGATAAACAAATTAAAAATACTTAAAATCATAAATGTGATATATAATTGTAAGGACCAAAATCCAAAAAAAAAAATGAATTTTCATTTCTCTGATGAATAAACTAATTGTAAGGTTTTAGTTTAATAACAAAAATGTTAAAAGTAGTTACCGATTATATCTCTGATGAATAATCGATGAGGGATTCAGCTATTATTTGCATTTTTCTTTTGTACATGATATCCTCTGTGATGTTATGTTGTTGTCCCGTTCAGTTAGTTATTCGAATGTGAGAAACCTTATTTGTTGCATGACTGCATCCCACCGATGACTGAAAATTTTAAAACTGTGACTGATTTCTTCCTGATAAAAACTTTGAATCTGAGTATTTGTTTTTAGTGAAATGTTGTTAGTTTTTCTAGTTTGGTTTGACATCAGTTTATATCTTGATAATAAATGGTTTTAGTCCTGTTTTGTTACTGTCATGTCAATCCTTAGTATACTAATACTATTTATTACTAGGTGTTTTGTGCGGGCTTAATAATTTTACTAATATCTATAAATAAATATATAATCAATTTATGTAAATTATAATAAATTATAGTTCATAGACTCAAAATATTTAATAATAAACTAAACAAATTCTTTCTATATATAAAATTTTTCATCATCATATAAAGAATTTTCATTACACAACTTATATTTGAAAATACTCATGAATTTAAAACATTTAGTAATAAATTAATATCATTTTTAGACATAACAAAAAAGTATAAAAATTATCTTTAATAATGTTTTGGATAACACAATATAAATTATCTATACATAAATTCTTTGCGAATTGATTTTTCATAATTAACTATATATTAACAAATAGAATTATTTTTCAACGTTAATAAAGACTTTATAACACAATACAAAAAGTTAGGTAAAGATAATTATCAAATTCATGAGATTCATTTTTTTAATTTAGAATTAATTATATGTTAACAAATATAATTATTTTAAAAATAAAGACTTTATCCCATAATATAAAAAATAAAATAAGAATAATTATCAAATAAATGAAATTTGTTTTTAATTTATAATTAATTATATATTAACTAATATAATTATTTTTCAAGGTTAATAAAGACTTTATAACCCAATATAAAATAGTTTTAGATAAAGATAAATCTAAAATCATTGAAATTCGTTTTTTATTTATGTTTAATTATATTAAAATTTTAATTATTCATTAAGGATATAAACGATATTAACCGCTCTAACTTTCAACGTGAAAGTTACAAATTAATTAGCAAATTTACTTAAATTTTATAACTGAAAATATATTTTTAAGATAACAATTTAATAAAAAATAATTAACATATTTTTTTAAAAATATAATATTATTAACATAAATTATTTTTTTATTTTATAATAAATTATTAAAACATGAAAATAAGCAAAATAACCTAAAATCATGGAGAAGTTGACAACTAAGCAAATTTACTTCTCAAATAATATTATAGATGAAAAATATATTTTTAGGATAACAATCTAATACAAAAGAATTAACATATTTTCTAAAAATATAATATTATTAACATAAATTTGTTTTTATTATATAATAAATTATTAAAACATGAAAATAAGCAAAATAACCTAAAATCATGGAAAAATTGACAACTAAGCAAATTTACTTCTCAAATAATATTATAGATGAAAAATATATTTTTAAGATAACAATCTAATACAAAAGAATTAACATATTTTCTAAAAATATAATATTATTAACATAAATTCGTTTTTATTATATAATAAATTATTAAAACATGAAAATAAGCAAAATAACCTAAAATCATAGAAAAGTTGACAACTAAACAAATTTACTTCTCAAATAATTACTGTCATGTCAATCCTTAGTATACTAATACTATTTATTATATGCTCTAGGTTTTTTCTCCAGTGTGCATAAACAAGATAACTATCTACAGTAGACTGGTTAATAGTTGGGTTATGGTGGCACTCGTAAGAGAAAGTCAGACAAAGATATTGAAAGGGAGAGGATTTGGTGTCATATGAGTCACCTGGTCATCAAAGAAAGTAACTTACGCAAACACTGATCATACACATGGAAGTAGATATCTGCTGAATCAAGTCTTTAGCCTTTATCTTTTACTAATGTGAGAGAACTGTTAATTTAATTTGATCATCAACAGCAAAGAGCAGTTATCAAACATTACAAGACATTAATAACAAACCAAATTTCCAAAAAAAAACTAAGAAATAAAACAAATAGACGAGAAAGACAAATAGATCCAAAACTCTCGACATCATCTCAAGAACTTCAGCAGGGCATCCATGTCCGCGCGCTTTTGAGTCAAGCCATTTAACTCTTCCTCAATGTCTTGAATCCTCGTCTCACCAGCTTCTTTCAGTGCCTTCCCCAACCAGTCCAACTTAAACCCTGCTTTTGTCACATATGTCAGTGAAGAATAAGCGTCAGCCAAATCACTGTTGGAGAGTTCCTCATGAGACTTGCATAGAATCTCAGTCAGACTTAGTAGGAAATTCAAGTATGTTGTTCTCAGTTGTGGATTCTTTGCACGGACGTTTGATGCAATGTTTGGATGCTTTTTAAACAAGGTGTTCACAGATTCTACCTGCAAGAATAAAAATGACGTTATGAAAGTAAAACTCAAAGTGAGCGACGTTAAAGACCTGTTCTATTCTTATATTTTTCTTTACTTGTGAAGCAAGGACTTGAAACCCATTGACATCCACGATCTTTGTAGTTTCCACTGGTATATCTAAATTACCGACAACTTCAAGAACATCAACTTCTGCGACAATCTTGAGTTCATTGTTCAATAGAAACTCTCGATTTAGGCGACACATGGAGTCAAATCCAATTGTGTGGTTCTTTTGATCAAACAAGTACTGCGATTCTGAAAAATCACGAAATAAATTTGATCTCATCATCATTTACATTTTTCAAATAAAACATAACAATCAGAATTTGACAAGGATCTGTTGATAGATAGATATATCACCTCGCAGATGGGAGACTTCTCCAGGATTTTGATTAACAATAGCAAATGAGAATTTAGCGTGTCGTCTCCATCCAGAAGTCAAAAATTCATGATTAGGAACCACCAAATACAGAGATAAATAATCATCATAAGGATTACATCCTTCGGGATTGACGAGAAGACGCCTGCGAGCACAAAATCATGCAAAAGATGTCTCATATTTGCTTGCAGCTACTGAATACGAATATATACCCTTCAGACAAGTTGTTGTTGTTACCATTTGCAGCGACCAGCCACGAATATATCAGAATAAACACTCTCAGATCTATAAGAGGAGAAAGAAGAGAAGTTCTTAATCACCCAAGTGAACTTCTTATCACCTTCGTTCCCCATTGTTCTTGAAGTTGGCTCCTAAACAATCAAATCTGTTACTATGACAATCAAACGAAACCAAAACACAGACTAAGCATATAATTGACAAATCGAAAATAGGCAAGGAAATGAAAGAATGGAACGATAAAAATGGTAAAAATGGTGACATATTTACCCCTGAGAGACAAGGACGATATGAACTCAACAAAACACTGCAACTACACCTTTTAAAGGCGTCCAAGTCGGAAAGACGAGACGAATACGAATCGCTTCGACTTCTCATATCTCATAGGTTGATAAATATTAGTAATATAGTGTTTCCCATTTACTTTATGTTTTAAAAATTGCATTGGGGCAAGTAAAAGACAAACCCAATTGAAACTGCTGTTGTGTCTAAAATAAAAAATTTCTAGAAAGAACATTTATCTTCTTCTAAACAATTTTCGAAATGAGGAAGACGTTGATATAGTAATTTAGTTAATATTTATTTGTTTATCAATAAATTTAGAGTTTAATTTTTTTTATAAGTAAAGTAGAGTTGATTTATTACTATTTAGAGTTTAATTAATGATTAGTATAATTTATTACTATCAATTATAAAAATTAATGTAATAACTAATATTATGAACGTAAAACTAGATTTTGACATGCGCTTGAGAAGTGCGGATTTTGTTCCGGTTGTAACAAAATGTATAAAATGATCCGATTTCTATTATATGATAGTTTTATATGCGAAATTTGATGAATATTTAACGTTTTAGTAGGGTCTTTTCATTTAATTTGCATAACCGAGTCAGTTTGTGGTTGAACAGAGAATCAGAAAATTAAGTATTGTGAAAGTTTGAAGAATTAAAACATATATTAGATTGAAACCAAAATTGGATGGGTCCATGACCTATAATAAACTTGAAAAATCAATACTATTAAAAATACCCAAAATTGTATTACAAATTTGTAGTTAAATCCAATAAATATGTTAATCGAATTATATAGTTTATTTATGCTTCGGCAATTTTGTTTTGATCCGCGCTTAAGAAATTTATAATAGGTAGGGAGACTAACTTTATACTATTAACCATAAAAAATTTTTTTGTTTCTCACCACTACACCATTCAGATCACCCAAGTCTTGAACTTGTCCAATAACATCTAGATAAAAATATACTCGTGTTAGATAGATACACAACAATGGAGATAAGTTATAAAAATGAGAGAAAATTGACCAGTAAGAAAATTATTAAGATTTATAATTCAAAATAATATAGTTTTAAAAATAGAAGAATTGTTCCATAAATATAGAGAAGAATATTATCATTTAGGTTTTTACCCGCGCTTAGAAAACATTATCATTTAGGTTACACTTTTACAAAATGAAGATATCTAAATCATAAATCTATACAAAACGATAAACTTACATTTGCATCACAAAGGATTAGTTCTATGGTCTCCCCTATGTCTTTCATGAAATGTCTCCATGTATGAAAGATTTTGACTTGGATGCGACATACAATCTTCCTCGGTTTTATATCACGACAACTGCAAATTATTCGCCATTTTTGTTTTAAGTTTTTCAATGAATGATGAATATAATGGTTAAAAGAGGCTATAATTATAATAGGTAAGGACGATATACATTTAAGTTACGAAAATGTAGGAAATAATATTTAGACGATTTTAAAAAATATCTCTTTCGAGGAATAAGGAATATTTCTTAAAGATATTTTGAATTAGTTAAGAAGTTTAAAGTTTAACAATTAATGGTAATACAACTACGGTAAGTTACCGAAATTTATGGAAACCAAACAAAGAATAACTAACCACGATATTGATTGTGGTTAATTTATAAAGTTGTAGATGAAGCAATTCATTTATTTTAGTACGAAGATAATTATAGAAAATAGTTTTTGCAATATTTACTTAAGAAAACGTATCTCATCAATATGCAAGATAAATTTGTTAAGAAAAGTTATCGGCATATGAAGAAAAGTTAATACAAAAAATATTTGAAATTATCTTGCATATAACAAATTTAGTTATTATTCAATAACAATCTTAATATATTATTTAAATATTTTAAAAATCAGATATCAAAGATATTACCAAGATCTTTTCTAATATTGCATTCTAACAATATCTTTTAATATCTTTTTCAGTAAAATATAAATATTTATTTTAAATAATAGAATGTACTTTAAAATATTATTACAATTAATTTTAATTCATTTGGATTTATTAAATAAGAAATACCATTACTATAATATTTATAAATACATTATTCATATTCATAATTAAATTACTACAATAAATAATATATATATATATATATAATAACTTAATTAAAATTATTTTATAAACTATAAATTAAAAGAATTACATATTCATGACAACATATATTCATAGAGTTACAACATACTTCAATTTATTAATGCAAAATATTAAAATATATATTAAAAGAATAAAAAAAATATTTAATATAAATATCTAAATTACTATATTAAAATATAATTTAGTATATTTATATTTGATAAAAACCATATTATTTTTGTTGATTTTATTATACAATATACTGAATTATATATTATGATTTAAAATTACAATTTATTATAATTTATTTTATAAATATGTAAACATTTATAAGTATGAGAGCATCTGAACACCATATAATTAATTTATATTATAATAAATATTTATGTAGTCAATCTAAGATTAAAACCGTAATATAACGTTTATAAGATAATATAAATGTATGAAATATAATATGAAATATGGTTAGAGTAATTAATGGGAAGGCCAAGGACGGAGTCGAACCGTCATTCGAGGATTTGCAGTCCGATACATTGCCATTATGTTACCTAGCCAAACCCGCTAAAAGGAGAAGGAAGGCTGTGGAATGCCGCCAGGCGTCTATTATTGAATTCACCCGACCCGATAGTACAGAGAGAATAAATCGGGTATATTTAATATGTGATATGATTTGTAACAATTGATATATATATATAGATGTAAGATTAGAAAACAAATTACCAAAATGCCTTTAATGAGGGTGCATACAACTTTCATCAGTCGATTTTTCAAGGGTGCGTTCACTTTTAATCGTATAGATTAGGTAAATAGAAGTGATTTTGATAATTTATAATAAAAATAAATTAGCTTTGCATTTATTATTTCTAATATTACTATTTTCACTAACAATAAAAATTTGTGAATGGTTGATATTTTCCAGAAGACTACTATAAAGCAGTTCTTGGGCCGAAAGAAAATGATATCTGACGATTTGAAAGACATGTTAACATATAACGGCCCAGTTAAGACTTAGGGCTTCTTTGTTTTCAACTTAAAAAGGTTCGCATCATTCATCTTCTCACCTTTGCCTCCTACGCAGCCGCAAATCGGACGACTTCAAGATGGTTAGCTATTCTCTCAAACTTTATGTTTGTTTTAATCCATCGTTGGTTTCGCCTGCTTGAATTGAATGAATACTTTGATGTTAGTAAAATCTAATACAGTTACTGATCTTGTTTTGTGAAACAGCCGTCGCACAAGTCGTTCATGATCAAGAAGAAGCTTGCGAAGAAGATGAGACAGAACAGGCCTATTCCTCACTGGATTCGTCTCCGTACCGACAACACCATCAGGTTCAACTTTTTTTTTACTTTTCTCGAGTAATGTAGCTGTCATTGTGGATTGATTAGGACAGAGATAGTGAGCGAGAGTTCTGAAACCAGAAATGTTTTGTTTTAGGTACAATGCCAAGCGCAGGCACTGGCGTAGAACCAAGCTTGGATTCTAAGTGATAATGCCACTATCTGAAAGAGTGTTCTTTTCTTATGGGTTTAGCATTTACTCAAGCTTTTTTATTTTCTGTTATGACTTTAATGTAAGACCTTACTCTCTTGTCATTGATGTTATCAAGTTTTTCTATGTTTTAAGAGTTACTTCATAGCATTTGTGTGATGTTACTTCTTGTTTTGCTTGTATGTCACCTTCTACCAGTTAAGAAACCGTGTTAGAGTTTAGCAATAGTTCTGTCTGGAAAATGTGTTAATTTTGATGCTGGTCTGGAGCTGTTCCATGTACTAATTGCTTGCTTAGAAGTTTTCGTAGTTAGTGGTTAAATAGCTGACGATGTTGATCTTATTGTAAATGACAACATCGACTCACAATCTTAGTTCTCTCCCTATATATCCTCTGAGCATATACAACTGTATCTTCTATATTCCATGGGAGTCTCCCTATGTAATAGCGCCCGTTATGAAATCAATAGGTTTCTCGATAAAATGTCTTACCGATCAGTGTGAGCTAGTCTTCGTTTCGTATTCTATCTACTGAGATGGAGGCTCACTTACGTGTTTTGGTATGAGTCGATGAATGCATCAGCAAGGTGCTCGCATTTTGCCATAGATATTTCTCCTGACTTTTAATCATGTCACCTTGTCTTACATAACTAAGTCAAATATATATGTAGTCAAGCAGTATCACAGTTTGAGCATATTGAGCTTTGTTCGTACAGCTTTTGCCTCACCGTCTTTATTCATCCCGCCATCGTTTCCATTTATGCTTTTCACTTATTGCAGCATCGCCCACGACATTAGCCACTATTCTGGCACAATGAACAGGTTGCTTAAACAAACCAATAAGCCTTCACTTTCAATCATTTACTAGTTGATGTTGACTTTTTTTACCCATCTTGATTTATACAGTGTACAGATTATCATTTTACATCAATGGATATCAATATATATTATTATACAGTATATGCCACTTGGTTGATCAGGTTTTAAGATAACTGCTCTCATGATTGAGCAGCCCATAACTTAAGCTGCATATCTTGAGTAAAAATTGGTAAAAGTCCCAATTTTGAGTTTTTGCAGGGTTTAGGGTTAAATTCTATGATAATTTGCATCCTACATCCGGAATCCATAAAAGAAGAAACGAAAGGTGGGACATATTTAACATGATTAATTCAGCAAAGCCAGACACGTCGGTAATTTAGAATTTATAAAAATAACAACAAATTATCTTTTCAATTTTGTAATTAAAAAAAAAAGAAGGGTTTTCCGAGGGAATCTTTACAAATTGTTTTACATGCACTTTCCCACACAACTCAGTTTTTGGGTCCCATAAATTATTTATTTTGTTACATTTTCTTAAAAATTAAAATAAATCTATAACCAGTGGACCCGATCTTGCATTTTCACATCGACATTAAAGGAAAAAAAAAACAAGTTATCTTGCGAGGAAAAAATACAAGGAAAAAAAAAGAAAAAAAAAAAAGAGAATAATGTAACGAGCGTATATAACAACATCCCATCTATCTCTTTTTCTCCTAATCGATATTTCAACTTCCTTCTCTCTCTCTCTCTCACTTTCTTCGTCATTGTCTCTCCTTCTGTAACTTCTCTTCTCTCTCTCTCCTTTCTCATTTGTATCTGATATCCTTTTTCTGCTAGATTTAATTAGCATAACGTCGATGAAGAAGGCTACATCAGCGTCGGCCAAGATGGCAACGGTAAAGGATGAGTGGGTGGCGGCGGCGATGACGGACGACCAGATGGTCATAGAGCTTCTTCTACGTCTGAAGCAAGCGGGAACGACGACGGTTTCAGAGAATCTGCTTCCGTTACAGTGGGGAATCCGTCAACGGAGGTCACGGCCGTCAAGATTCGGTGGCGTTTCGTTGAAGAAAGGTTTAGTTTCCGCAAGAGGCAGTCCGAAGACTCCTCTCTCGTGGAGCGACGGATCTGGAAGTGGCGGAGGTTTCTCTGCGTCTCCCTCCGCCGCTGCGGGCGATGGGGTTGAGGAAACGAGTCGTCAAGCTAGCTGCTCCACGTCAACAGCTTCCGGATCTAAGGTACTTTCTCTTTCTCGTGACTTTAGAAGATTCTACTCCTCGTCTAAAAATCTCCTTTCTTCGTTACTCGCATCTCTTTATTTTTCATCGATCCTTTTTTTTTTGCTAAAATAACTTCATGGATCTTTCAGTTACGAGATTTTCCATGAGGCCGTGTTTTAATTTGTTATTTATTTTAAAACTTAATCACACTGGAAAATTTCGTCCCCCGAAGTGTTTTTTCTGGTCTAACCGAGCCTTTTTTTTTTCTCTTCTTTTAGGTTAAACGATTCATTACCAAAAGTCAAAAAGCATCTGTTTAACTTTATTTTCCTTTTGTCGATGTTTTTTTTTGTAATTTTTAAACTCTGCTAATTAATATTCCTTCGCATCTGTTTTTCTCATTAAAAACTAGAGGCTAACCGGTTAATTTCTCGATTAACCTTATTCTCTGTTTTTTTTTTAACTCGGGGGAGGGGAGGGGGAGATTTAACCAGATCTTGCGTGGATAGAGTCTCTTCTTTTTAATAAACCTAGAGGTTAACCGGTTAATCATCTCGATCAACCTTATTCTCTGTTAACCGGGAGGGGGGAGATTGAACCGGATCTTGCGTGGAAAGAGAGCGTCTCGTAATTGGTCAAAATTTGATTTGTCTGGAGAGGAATAATATAAATGTTCGTTGTTTAGATTATGGGGTGGTAGTGGTACAGCTAATTGGTCAAAACGTGCGCGTTCTCTGTACGTTTTGAGGCACCGAAACGGCATCGTTTGGGGTGAAAGGTGGGTGAGACGAGTAAAATCTTGTCGGAGAGAGTGGGATCACGTGATCTTTAAGAGCGATGACGCATTTACACGGGATTTTCATGATGTGGCATTCCCATATGTTTTTTTATGTTTCTAGAAGAATAGTTTTTTCGTTTGTCTTTATAACTTAAAAAAAAATATTTTGTGAAAAAGAAAGTTTACTACTAGTAGTATCTTAAGTAAGATCTTGGTTTGATTATATACAGTAAACGATCTATAACAGTTGTCGTTCTCTCTTCTGCATTTGATTTAATTTATTTAGTTAATAAATTGTCAATTTGCCAGATTTGGCATCTTAATCATACTTTTATGTACTTTGTTGGGGGCTAATCAAATGCGTTTATTTTTGTTTTGCAGGCTTTTCCAACAAACGTAATCACAAGTTCTTTCTCCAAGAGACTGAAGAGAAAGAAGGTATTATACAAAACTCTCTTTCACTCATATAAGTAAATCCTAAAGTGAAATCAAAATCTTTTTTACTGAACTGAGACTTTGTTTTGTTTAGTTAAAGTCATCTTCGGAGCTTAAATACGAAGAGAACTTGAAGTTGAAGGAAAAACTCGAACTTCAAAAGGTAAAAAATGAGAGTTTATCATAATGTTATCGACTTATCTCACTTTTATCTCCATCGTATGCTAACAAAGATGGTCGCATCCACAGGAGATTGCAAGTCTCCGAGCAACATTCGAGGAACAAAACCTAAGGAACCAAAGGTTGAAAAGGATTAAGGTAAACATTTTGATTTTCCCCTTACATTCCAGATTCTCTCTCTCTCTCTCTCTTTGCTGGTCTTTAATTTTGTTTTCTTGTTTCAGCTTGACTTGAACTCAGGCCGTGTCAAGAACGAGACTCCCGTTGATCTGTTTAGTAAATCACAAGGCGAATCAAAATCTTGCAGAGTAGAGGAGACTTCCGAAAATCAGGAGAGCTTCTTCCTCCCTGATCTGAACATGGTACCTTCGGAAGAGTAAGAGATATTGCATGGAACTAGCTAAGTGGCAGCTTATCTAAGGTTTTTTAGATCTCGATCTGATTTTACAATCAAGAAGGGAGCCATAGACTTTACACAAACAAAAGTGAATGTAATAAGTGTAATGTCTCCTCACATCATTCTTTGTGTTCTGTTTTCTTCCTTTTTTGAGTGTAAAACACTCATTACTTCTTGGTTTTTATTAAGAAGGCGGTGGAAATTAGGTTCTTTTAACTTTTTGTTCTCTCACTATTGTATCGATTCGTTGTAGTTAAAAAAGCTTTGTTGGAAATTGTTAAGTAAGAGGAAAAAGTAGAACAACTAGTTGACTTTTATGATCATTTTTTTTGTGTTCCGCTCAACTAACACAAGACAAAAGAGATCTATCCAGCTCACGAGCCCATCATTATTCTACTGATTTTAAATTTTCAAAATTTAAAACTTGTGAGGTTAGTATAGTGTTATTGGTGGTTCGTCGTCGGCGTGTGTCCACGGACATAAAAAAACAGATGCCAACTTGTTATCACCTTATTTATCTCGATCCAAGTTATTATTGTCGAGAGATACAAAAAAGTAAGTTAGATTATCTTCTAATAAAGTGTATACTAAAAATTACTCCCTCCGTTTCATATTAAGTGTCATTGTAGAGATTTTTTTGCGTTATAAAATAAGTGTCGTTTTCGGTTTTCAATGCAACATTTATTAATTTTATTATGTAATTTATTTTTCTATTGGTTAAAATATGATTAGGTGTACGGGTAACTGTGTTTTTATATAGGAAATATGTAAAATTAATTGTTTCCTTAATCCGTGTGCACAGTTGTAGAGTGACACTTATAATGAAACAGAGGTAGTAATAAATAAATAAATAAATAAATAACCATTTCCCCCCAAATTATATGTTAATTGTTATGAAGTGTATACTAAAAATTAATAAATAAATAAATAACTATATAACTTAATTAAAAAAGAACCTAGGGTGCTAATAAAAAGTAAAAACGGTTGAAATAAAAAAAAGATAGTTAAAAGGAGAAACAACTAAGAAAATACAGTACTAGAAATATTATATGCAGTTGACCAAAAAAAAAAAAAAAGAACGCGGGTGGTTCAATAGTCAAGGTTGATTAATGAAACACTTGGTCTAGAGTTAATAACTAGAAGAAAGAGAGAGGCATCTTCTTCTCGTAACTCCAAAACGCTATATAATACTCCAGCTAGCTAGTTCAAACTTCTCAACTGCAACCTCTAAGCATTCTTCCCATGTTGGTATCCCAAGCTAATACTCCACTATAGACCGTTCATATAGCAAAGACCCCACAAAGAGATTAATCTGACAACTCATTTAGCTGTCTGCTCCACAGGTTCTTCGCTGAACAATCCATCTTATGCAGCAGTGTTTTCTGTTTATAAAACTTGGATATTCCGTTTAGACGACGTTCTTCCCTCTCTCCACAAATCTGCATACCCCTCTCCATGCTATCCTCAGCTTTGTGCCAAATTACATTCGCTAATCGCGTTCGGATACTCACCTTATCCCATTTTCGTGTAACAAGAAGCCATATGGTCCTTAGGCAAAAGCTTTAAGGCTTTGTCGTAATGAAACATGGCTCCTTCGCTGTCTCGTGTTTGGAACAGCTTGTTCCCTTCTTCTTTGAGCTCAAGTGCTCGTGTAGTGAAAATCTCCATATCTCAGTCGGAAGAATCCTTCGGTGTGTTTGGAGTCTTCTTCTGCGCCGTTGGTTCTCCCATTGAAGGGTGAGACTGTTTATCTCAAACAGAGGATGATGATGAAGTTTGATGATAAAGCAGAGGATTCTAGTCTTTGAAGGCTAGGAACACGAGACGACACAGCATGACTCTGACTCTCTGTAGGCAGGTGGAGTGAACCTTACACTACCAATAAAATAGTGTCCAGAAAATTAATATAAAAACAGATTGTCTGTTGTAATAATCAAACGGTATTCTTTTGAATAGTAAGTTTTGGTTTTGTTTTTCTAAAATACAGATCCTTTGTGATTATCAATTAGTGGTTCAAAAGATTATGAAATTGAGTTTTTGTCTGTTCCAAAACATTGAGGCTACCCCTTCGCAGAAATGAACCATGAATCCAGGATGGGAGCCAAAAACAAGTTACTTGCGACACAAGATTGATATTGAGATTGCTTTTTTTTGTGCACATTTTTTTGTGAGCACATGATAATTATTGAGATAGCTGCAACAAAAGATTTCACCAGAGATAGCAGCGACAGTTTGCAACCAATGGTCTAAGGAAAGCCAGCGGTTTTTTTCCATAAATCTCAGGTCTCACTTTGTTTGAAAGTGACAACATTATCTATTGTAATAAAAAAAACTTTAGTAATGAACTAATGGTAATCACATTCTTTTCTTTCATTAAATAAATGAAGGTTATAGACAAGATAGTAAGACTCTGTGTCACAGAAGGTTTAGGTTTAGATTGGTATTATAGATAGGATTGTAATTAGTCCGTTTAGTCTGTAATAGTCAATTAAACCGACAGTGTGTGTTTGAGCTAACTGACTCAAGTATAAGAGTTGATGAGCTTTAGGATTCTTGTTAACTCTGATGAACTGATAAGTTTGTTACAGTCTCAGAGATCAAGAGATAGAGAGAGAGCTAGGTTATCTTTGTAACCGAGCTCGCTTGTGAAGCATATAGAGTGTTGCTGGTTCAATCCCAGCTCCGGAGAGATATAGCAGCCACAACTCCGGATCAACATATCATCGTGTTGGTTCGAGTTTACAAGCAAGAAGAAGAAGATCAATCAATTCAATCTTCACAATAAAAAACAGGGCAAAACCCATATAAACTTTCCATTCCAACCATGAATCCAGGATACAATTTCTACCCACAAAAAAGAATCATTGACAAAGATTTGACGCCACTGTCACAAACCAAGCTTCTTCGAAAACAAGTCTGATATATTAGCTATTACAAATCCAGCAAACACCTGAAACAAAAACAAAACATAAATTCTTGAGCAGCAAGAAACTCTTCATTTCTCTATTGTTTGTTTATACAATGTGAGGTTCTAGTTACCTGAGTAGAGCCAAGGATGTAAATAGCGGAATAATGACGACCGTGAATCATCATGTCAGCAACCATCGCCAGTGGAATGGTAAGAGACATGCCCAACGTCGCTACTAGCGGAGTTGTCCACACCACAGAAAGTGCCCTAAGTTACGAGGAAAAAAGACAAGTCATTATATAAACCATACACACCTCTTTCTAGGAGGATTCTAAGGACTTAATCAACATTTTTTATTGGCTACACTTTAGCTAACACCTAGAATCATTGAAACATACCAAAAATAGTCAGAGAGGACACTTCCAACGAAACCATTAGCCAAAACAACTTCATCAAGCTTGGCAGAGTGCGGTATGGTAAACTTTGGTTCGATCCCTAATGCTGTCAATGGCCACACTGAAACCCAAAAAAAAAAAAACGCAAACAGTTGAATAAAAGAGCATATGTTATGTAATCATAAAACACTTGTAAAAAACTGAATAATATGGAAGATATAAGGTTTATACCAAGCCACCAGAGAGCAACAAGTGTGAACAGTCCTATGTATCCAAACAGCTTTTGCACATCAACACCTTCTCCTTCTTCACCACCAGCAAACTTCTTCAGAAGCACTGTGATGTCAATAACAGAAGCGTACATTACAGGCCAGGAGGATAATTATCCTCCCCAATACACAAAATGTCCATATCATTGGAGGATCCAATTTAAAAGAAATAATGATCTAACCTGTAAATACTCCATAGGAGACTGCAGAGAGAAGCCCAAAGAGATCTCCCACAAGGGACCGTTGCCCGTTGCTAAACACAAATATCAACTGTATACGTTAAAAGAATATGGTTGATGAAACTGTACAGCTTATGTAATCATATGAATCTTATATGAGAATGAAACCGTTCTAACACATACATACAAAGCAATCTTGCAATTGTGAATTTAGCTTTCCTAACGTTTTTTGCAGTTATGTCTTATTAAAGCATATGGTTCCAAAGTTTGTATTCAATTTATGTAGTATAATTTAACTACTGTGATGATTACATTCACACATTTACACTTTCTCTATTAAAAAAAAAATCACAATGGTTAAATTTTTTTTTTTATAGCAAACATCACAGTAGTTCAATTATACTACAAAAATTAAAAAAAAAACATTGGAACCATACACTTTAATACAACATAATTGCAAAAACGTTAGGAAAGCTAAATTCATAATTGCAAGATGATACAAGTTCTAAGAAACTGAATCTTTTAGATGATACAAGCTTCAGTTATCAATTAAGAACACAGTTCATGTTTAACTTTCAAATTATAAAGACATATAGATGTCTTTCACTTTCCAGGAACGAAGATGCATGGTGAAACAGGTTAAGATGAGTAACATAAAGAAGAAAAAAAAACTTACAGTGAAGAGTTTAATTGAGAGTCATCAGCAGCCCAAGTTTTCCCAAGCGTTGTCATGACCACACCAGCCATACTGACAAAAACAGCAACAACTTTCGACAGGTTCAAAGTATCTTGACCCAACAATGCACCAATGAAAAGAGTAAACAACCCTGAGGTTGAAGACAATACAGTTGTACTCGCCACGCTTGTACGCGCAAGAGCAGCATTTGACAAATACTGCAGCAAACAAAATATCATTCACCAAACGGTTCATATAAAAGAAAACTATACAACAAACATCATGTAAACAAACCTCTGTGACAAACCAAATAGGTGCGAGGTAAAGACCATACAACACAATCTGCTTTGTAGTGATGATCTCTTTCCCATGTCTCAAACTCTGTGTTTCTTCTCTCCCTCTACCAATCAACGGTCTCACATCTTCTTCATGAGAAGAAAAGTCTTCCTCGCTGTCTTTCTTAGTAATAGTCCCTTGAAGACCCATCTCAATGACTTTATGCCTCAGAGGAGAACCGACATCAACAACAGAGGAGACATCATTGGTTCTGGAAGAGCGTCTTCGCTCTAGGTAACGACAAAGCCAGTCTTTGAGGAATGCAACGGGAAGGTAAACAATCATAAGAGAAGCTCCAAGATATGTTACTGCAAATGGCTGCTTATAGGCTGTAAATATATCCTGGCCAAAGTAAAAAAAAAAACATGCAGTAAATTATCAAAATTTGACCCGTTTAAACAGAGATCTAAGCCTGATGGAATCTGGATCCATAAATTCAAAGCAGATCAAAGCATCAAAATTTGAGAGTCTATAGATATACTAATATATACCTGAGTAACTTCAGCAGAGGTGACCCATATGACAACAACAGTACCAATCAAAAAGAGACCAGCTTTGTATCTCCAACCCATTAGAAAATCAAAACCGAGAAACCAAAACTTCAGATCAATACGCAGAGATCTGTCTGCCCTCTTCAAAAAGATTAAAACCTTTGCGGTAAAGATGATTCAATTAGATCAGGACGAGGGAGGTATTCGAGGGGAAGACGGGTGGAGTGAGGAAGAGAGAAAGGGGGGCAAAGTACAGAAACGACGACCAGAGATTTGACCGGATGAGAAGGGAAATAAAAATAAACGGAAGAGTCAGCGAGGGAAGGACGGGGGAGAGAGGAAAGCGTTATGACAAGCAACTAAACAAACGTATTTATGTGTAAGAAAAACATTTACGTTTTAGTAAGTAATAAAATTGTTTAATAATGACTTTAATTATTTGACAAAAAAAAATGACTTTAATTAATAAACTGGGATGGTAGAATTTATGGAGGCGTGAGATATAACCTTTTTCAACGATAATTTAAATACTAAATCGTAATATCTACGTATGTCTAGGTAGGCTATAGATTAAACTAAAAGTGCGAAAAAGTTGCATAAAGTTACTAACATGTTTATAATTTAAGTAAGATAAATAAAATTTCTAGAAATATATGTTTTTTCAAATTTTCAAAACATATCATATATAGAAAAATCCATATATTTTACTTGTGAATTACGAAATTAGATAGTTGTATATTTTAAAGTTAACGTTGGTATAAGTTAGAGGGAGGAAAGTATTTGGAATAAAGAATATAAAAAATAGAAAAGAATAAAACACTCAAGAAGGAGAAAAATGAAAATTTATACATATTATATATAGTATATCATAGCCTAAATATTGCTATGGCTATTTCATTAATATTTTTTATAGTTATAGGGTCAATTTCTCTAAATTAAAGGAGAGAAAAAGTTGCATAAAGTTACAAACATTTTTTTTCTGAACCAAAGTGAATATTTTTGATAATAGTACAAATATTCTATTATCAAAATTGGATCGTAGCTCAGCTGCATCATAGGGTCACGGGAGCTTTTTCATGCATTTGGAACATTCACCTACACATTTTAAAAGTTCAATCTTTTTTGCAGGATGCAATTCTTCATACCCTTTTAGCTAATAATAGTACAAGTTACCGTCAATTTATATTTCTATCATTTCTTTCTCACATCTCTTTTAAACGTTTTTATATCTGTCGTCTTCCTTTTTAAAAAAAGAGTTACTGATTCGAGAATAAAGAAAAGTGGCATAAAGGAGAGACTCAAATGAAATGAATGTTAGAAATGTCGTTGAGAAGCAAAGACTCCTGATTGTTTGGTTATTTAGTTTGCTTGTCATCTCTACGGCTTGAAGTCTCTTAGTCTATTTGTCTACCATATTTTTATTACTAAATTACATTTTTTTTGAAAAAAATAAAAACCTTTTAGAAGCATAATTTTATTTGTCATCTAATTGCAGAATAAATCAAACAAAAAGGGTTAAAACCAGCATAATATGTAGGAAATTTTATTTTGCTCGTATTAGTTGGCATGAGGATCTGTCAAGTTGGTGAGTGTGGTGCTTATGGTATTAAATTAGTGACACTGACAAGACAACTATGTAGTTTTGATGTCCAGGCAACAGTGAATGACACCTATATCTTATTATCCTTTCATTATTTTACTACTATCTACATTCAATTATGAATTTTTGATCAACTGCTTCCAAATAGTCATACAATTGCAGCATAATTTGTACATACAAGTAGTCATGGTCTTCACATCCGACCCAAACCCAATCCAGACTCATGATACCAACTTGACACATGAGAAACACTTTGTTTGAACGATCAACAACGATCTACAGATTTAGTTTGAAAAGCCGCTTGGTCTGCACCATTTATTTGGAGCGATGAACAAATCCCTTGCAAAGTCTTTAGAAGTTGGTGTGGACAAAACACATAGAACACAATGATTCCAAAACTTGTATAAACAAATCAAGCCTGTTCATTTCACACTGTGTATATAGTTATACAATATGATGGCAACACAAATTCACATTGCAAAGCAATGAGCTTCCACATTGCCGTATAAACAAGAATACTTCATATAGGCAAGTGTAAGACATGAGCTTTTTAAATCACATCAAAATGCTCCAGGAAACAAATGGATTGAAATCAGAAGAGCAGACAAAATAACCGGAGACAAACACAAAAACCGAGACTCCTTCAGAGACGAATGCACTTATTTAAATGCAAGAAGGTAGAGTAGGTCCGTGGCAGACAAAGGCCACTGCAATGTATATGATCATCAGTAATAGTAGTATCAAGAGGAACCTGCAAAGACCCAACAAACACACATAGAAAGATCAAATAAAAAAATACTCACTTGAGATGTTGTTCACAAAGGACAATGACATGTTAAAATTTATGGTTTAGAGGAAACATACGTGAGTTTGCAATTTCTCCACCACACGGTGCTTCTGAAACGGCGAGCTTGCTTTCTGAATCGAAATGTATTTCCTTGCATATTTGCTGTTTTATCGACAAGTAACTCCAAGCGTTCACCTCTGTCTAGAACTTTGTCAATGTTCTCTATCATGACATCCCTCACCTAAACCCAAGAATGTATGTATGTCAGCGTAAACCAAAAAGATTCAAAGACAACAAAAAGTCTTTAAAAGATAAAGTCAGACCTGATTCATTTCACCCTTGATCCGATTGATCCTATCGGCATTAGGATCATGAGAGTAATACTCAATCTGCTGACTTAGAACTCTTGAGAACTCCTCGTTCATGGCGTAAGCTAGTGCTGTATGAACTGCTCGGGCATAAGTCCTTACAAACCTCTGGTGAATATCCTCAAGAAAAGCAAATGGGATTCTCCCTGAAAGATTACATATATAATAAAACATTAAATAAAAAAAGTAAAAAAAAGTAACAAGAGATTCAGACATAAAACTCTTGTTCCGACAAAGAAGATCGAACTGGCACATAGCATACATCCAGAAACAAGTTTTTAACATTAATAAGCCTAACAAGATATTCGGACATAAACTCTTGTTCCGACAAAGAAGATCAAATTAATTCGGACATAAACTCATGTTCCGACAAAGGCGTAACAAGGTTTCAACTGAATGATAGATCCACATAAACTTCAGGCCACATGAAAAAGATTAGAACTTTGGATTTCATTTTCAGGAAAGATCAAAAATTTAGGCATAGAGAATGAAGGAGAAGAGGAGGAGCGTACTTCCGGCGGTTTCCTCGGCCATACAGAGAACGGTGAGGCCATCGGTACGTTTAACGTGAAAGACGTAGCGATCTTGAGAGTATGAGACGTTGCTGTCGTTGTTCCCAGGGACCTTCTCCAGTATCTGTTTTGCGATCGTGCTTGCGTTCGTTGACGTCGACGTAAACTCCGCAAGCACCACCGTCCCACGCGCCACGAGTGCGTACAGAATCGCCATATCCTCCGACGATCACCGGCGAGATGTACAGACGCGAGGAGAGAAGGTCAACGGAGAAGGATTTCCCGCGGAAGCCGAGACAGCAAGACGAATCGGGAGATCAATCAGAGAGAGAGAAGGTGAAACAAATAGCTTTTGACCTGTCTGAATATAATTGAATATTCTCTTTCCTCTTGGAGTTTAGCTGGAGCAGAGACCTTTTCGCGTTTTTGTCAGATTTTAATTATTAATTTTTGGATAGCTACGGAGATAGAATATTGTTGTATCAGTTTAATAAGTATGATTTTCTGCCGACTTCGTATAAATTTATGAATGAAAATAAAACATGTTTTTCGTTTTCTTAAATGATATTACCTAATATATACCAAATTGTTAATTTGAAGATGTATGATAAATAATGAAATAATAAAACATTGTAAACATGAAATAATTGTATGTTATTATCAATTTTTTAAAATCACAATAATGTATAAATATCGAATCTTAGTACGAAGTCGCGAAAGACTAATTTCTAGTATCTATCCAGTGTGAAATATCGGATATATAAAAAAAAACATTAACATATTATACTAATTTTAGATATAATCAGATTTAGTTTGGGTTTTGGTTTGATTATGATTATAACAAGATCTCAAAGTACTAAGATCACAAGTTAGACTGGATATTATGGAGAAAAAATATTAGACAAATGATCAATTTTCTCATTCTTCGAACAAACTCAAAAAAGGTGATTGGAATCTTGTCATGATATTTCATTAAAAGAGTTTTAGAAATAAATATCAAGACTAAATTATTTAATTTGAAGGAAATAATATATATATAGTGTTTCCAATATTAAAAATCACTTCGATTTGAAGAAGTATAATTCTCGGATTATCATGATCAAATAACATATTAGAAATTACCTATTTAAAAATTAATTTGTATACATAAAAGTATATACTTTAGAGTAAGCACATAAACCAAAACTAATACATTTTGTTATTACAATCATGTTGGTAAATAAATCAAAACAATCATTTATATTTACTTTATATGGTATATAATTAAGCGTTATTGATAATGACTTTGGTATATATTTATTACTGACACTTCCTACTCATATGATTTTATTAAAATTTGTATATTTTTCTCTAATAAAAAATTAAATAAATCCCAAAACTTAATGTGAGATTGTTCCAATATAAATTTCAAAATTAAATTATTAAGATCTCAATAAATTTTCACTGTAAATTTTAAAATTAACATATTTATAATTTTATATTTTATATAATTTAATTTAAATGATATTAGTATATATAATATAGTATCTGTTAATGATACTTCATATTCATACTATTTATAATCATTTGTATCTTAATTAAACAAAAACAAGTTAAACCATTGATCAAAAATTTCAATGTGGAATTTTTACCATTTATAATAATTTATACTCATTTCAAAAATTTCTAAATATAATACATAAGAAAAAACTATTTTTTTGTATACTTGATGTGGTACTTTAACTTTTAATAATATAAAATTATACAAAAAGAGAAAGTATACAAAAATTCTTATCAAGTATGTATTATTCATAATCATTAATTGTCATATATATGTTAATATTAACATATGAGGTAATTCCCTAGCTTTTATTGAAAGAAATAAAAAAATATTATTTTGTACACTATTAATTAATTTAATAGTTAGATTAATAAAAAATACAATATATAATTATATGGACCAACTTATTTTTTTTAAAGGATTGTTATGGTGATGATACGTACCTACGAAAATATGTTGCAATGTTCCAAGATTAATATATAAACGATCATATTTATTTTTTTATAAAATAAGTTTCCGTTTGATATCGTATGGGTTTAGTTGTAATAAAAAAAACTTTGGTAATGAACTAATGGTAATCACATTCTTTTCTTTCATTCAATTAAAAACAGGGAAAACCCCATATAAACATTCCGTTCCAACCATGAATCCAGGATACAATTTCTACCCACAAAAAAAAAACAAAGAATCATTGACAAAG